TCTACGTGCAAACTACAAGAATAACAATGGCTGTTTCATCGGCCAATGAACAATACTCTTTGGAGATGCAGCTGATTTTACTCGTAACCAATGTCAAGTACTTTGAGATGTACCGCGACTCTCAGTGGCTATTTCCTCGGCGTTATTTCAAGAAAAATGACGATTTCGACAAAATGTCTTTTGCTGCTGATGTCCGCGAGATTGCCAATTTTCCGGAGTGGAAAATGTACAGCGACCGAGTGTCGTGTCAGCAACTACCGGCAAAGGACATTTTTCAGCACGTTGTCGAGCTGTCTGTTAAATCTGAAAATGCGCTGCGTTTGTTATGTCCAGAAGACGAAAAGCGTTTCATGAAAATGGTTATATCAAACGACCCCGACTTAACTTTGGAGACATTTGACGGGTATCAGTACTACTCAATATTCTCCATAGGCACTAGGTGTCCGTTTCAGTTCACCGAAGACGATAAGCGTTTCGTTTTAAGAGGATGTCGCATGAGCGATGTCACTTCCTACCTGCTTGGCCAACGAAAGTATGACATAAACGCGACGCCGCAGTTGTCGAACGCGCTCAAGACGTCCCCAGCTATCAAGTGTTGCGGCAACAACAGTCTGGGCGATGAACTTAGAGCAGTACTCGTGTTCCGTGTCCCGAATGCATCTTATTGCCGTAAACCGTTGGCAAAAAACGCGAGGCCTTGTTTTTTGATGATATTATCCAAGACAACTCGAAAGGCGATCGCCAAGTGCAAGCCGGTAATGCGAGTAAAACCGACTCCTAGAGCTACAAATCCGCCGATTGTACGGCATAGACAGCCTGAACCTTTTAATGGTCGTGTCAGTAGAAGAGCCAGGCCTGCCAATTCATATTTTTCTGTACCAAGTTAACCACTCCAAGCGTTACAAGTGAGATGACATCGCGGACACTAGGCAACTGATCATTTATAAATATTATGTATATTTTCTGTTGATAAATATCTCGATTTATGTTGTCTGTGCAAGTACAGATTTTTTAATCGTTTATTACATTTTCATTTACTTTTTTTTATTTTTTATTTATTTTATTAAATCTGTATATTTGTTGAAAACATATTGTTGTCAAGTACATTGTTAAATATATATTTTTTATATTATATGTAAATATAACAATCTTATCGATTTTGATATATTTTTTTGCAATAAACGTTTTTGATTATTAATCAGTTATTTTTTTTTATTACCTATATAATATACAAAATAAATGATTACATAAAGTATTGTAATGGAGCGATTTAAGTAAACTATTATTAATATAATTACGTCGAATTTTATGCTATTCTTCTATTCATATGTGTGATTATTAACCTTCTGATATTTAGACTATTTGAAATATTATATTTGTTAATATTTTTCAACCACATCATTGAGTCAAATATCTACAGCTAAAACAAAGAAGAAAAAAGAAAGAAAGTAAGAGTATTATATATATATGCGTGTGTGTGTGTGTGTGTGTATGTATGTAGTTTTTAACATTTAAAAAATTGATTTAAAATTAATCCTGAGAGAAGGTAATTCAGTAGTATTTTGATAAGAAATGAATCTTATTACATTAAATAAAATTTTCTATCTATAATGGAAAAAACATCAGTTTGGAATTAATGTTTCTTTTTATCTATATTTTTTAAGTTAATAAAAATCACAAAATTATTTGGGTTTTATTTATAGGATGATGAATTTGTGACTGTTAAAGTTAAAATTAGTCGTACTTCAGTAATTATTGAACCCATCAATTCATAGCTGTATTAATATGATCTCGGTAAATTGTAGACTTTTTAAATCAATAGAAGATTCTGGCTTTAGAAAAGTTGCTGATCTTCTTTTTACAGGAATTAGTTTTAAAGCAAAGTAATACGCGAATACTTAATTGCACGTACTATTTATATTAAGCAACTTATCTCAAACGAGATAAAGGACAATTTTTTTTGTTAAAAAAAAGATTCGTCTACTCGCCATGACCGATATATACTCGTTATTAATGTACAGTACTAAAAAAATTCAATTATATTAATACGCACTTTAGCCATTGTTGAAATTAATAGTAGTAAGTCAGTCAACTTGAAAAATATAGTTATTAATGTATTGGAGAATTAAAATCTTAATAATATAATAAAAATTGATCACTTGTGGCTAGTTAATTAAGTAAAATTAAAACTATATTAAAAATATTATTAATTTAAAAAAAACTAAAAAATATTAAAAATATTAATCTCAAAAGCCACAAATATTTTTAATATTTTTTAGTTTTTTT